GGTTTTCTTGATATATTCATGTTTTAGGGAGTTCGGTGGTAAGATTGAGGCTTTGACAGTTATACTTGAAAATCATGTCTTATTTTTCGTATTTGTCAACGAGCTGAACATGATATCTCTTGAGTTATTTTCTTTGTTGTCATCATTATATCCTGTGTTGTCAGTGATTATTGATATTGGACACTGACCTTCTTCCGAGCTCGTCACTGATTTAAGCTTGAGATTAGATTTGTTACTTATTGAGTACATGGGGTCGGTTGTACTCATACTACACTTTTGCACCTTGTATGCAGATCTTTGAGCTGAAGCTGTTGTGTATGGCGAGAGTTGGCATTGAAGATGTACCTGTTTTCCGAACATAGTGATATTTGGCTATAATTCTATATTTTTAGTGCATTACTTACCTTATATTTTGGTGTTTTAATGTTAAACTATATTATATTTGTGCTTAATCGAGTTTATTTTATGTGTAGGTACTTTGGAGATAAAATTTGGAGCAAAGTAGAGATTTTATGTGTATTTTATACACTACAAGAATGGAGTTATGATCATTTAATTATTGGATATACAATGAGTAAAGTGTGACATAACAAAAGAAGACAAAAGTCAATTGAAAAAGAAGACAAAAATGTGAAAATGGGAAGTAGGCAAAGAAACTCAAAAGTGAAGCAGAAAGAAAGCAGGCGAAACGAGACTTTCTGCTCGCGTTTGAGCTCGTGAGGCGCGGTTTGACGCAAGATGCGTCACGCGTTTCCCGTGGCGACGCGTGGTCCGGGTCTCAAGCCTATTTTGTCTTTTTTTTTGTTTTGGACTTGGTTATTTCGTTTAGGCCATTTTCCTACACATATAAATAGTCTGTAAACATAATTTTTGGAGGATTATACCTGAGATTGGACCAAGGGGGAGCATGGAGCCGCCGTGTAGGCCAGAATTCATCAGATTCCATCTTTCTTCTATCAAACTTAGTAATCTTTACTTTTTCATGATGATTTATTATTTTGTTACCATGTATATGTGGATCTAAACTTCACGTTCTAGGGTTGTGGTTGTCATGAATATTGAAATTTATTAATTATATTACCGTTAATTCGAGTTATCATCTTTGGTTGTTTCTCTAATTCTGTACATAATTGCTTAATAGTTTGGCCAGCAGTTGAGTTCTATTTACTATGCTATGCTATGCTTGGGAAAGCCGTGTTTAGATTAGAGTAGAATTGGAGAGAGCTTGTTTCTGAACCCGTGGCTCGGGAAAAGATTTCGCCGTTTGGATAGGAATATACCTAATAGTCTTGCTTAGTTGAATACCGTATTATATTCATTCATGATAGATTCAAGACCATAGGAATATAGGGTTGATATATTATGGATAGACAGATAGTATTGTGGGAACATGCTATTTATATAAACGATCCGTCAACTAGCAATCATAGATAATTTGGATTAATAGGTGTAATTACAAACTCAATAGGATTGATAAACCGACCACAACCCTGAAATTTATATCTCCCTTGGTTACGTGTTTGAATTTCACAATAGTAGTTGTAATAGAAAAGTTAAACTTTTGGTCATCTTCGACAGTAAGTTGATTTTAGTTTGCTTAGTTAACGGTTAATCTAAGTCTCTGTGGGTTCGACATCCGACTTTCGAGTCACTTTATTACTTGACGGCCACGTATACTTGCGTGTACTTGGGGAATAAACACATAGCTACCACTTATTTTTGGTAGTTTTAGATTTGTATTCTGTTTATACATATTCCAAACAAATGTTGTATTTATTTTTATACCAGCTTTGTAAATCTAAGTTTTAGTAGCTCATGACTTGTACTACCAATCATGGGGTTATTGTCTGGAAATTATGTTATTTCACTTATTGATTTCTTATTTATTTTCATTAAAACTGGATAACAATGTTTGGCTTACCTAGCGGGTTGAGTTAGGTGCCATCACGACTAGGTGAATTTTGGGTCGTGACAACTTCCTTCGTTCTGTTTAAGCAAATGAGAAAATTTGAATACTAGTAGTGGTTAGTATAAGTAAAAATTGAGTAGAACAATCAACGGAATACGGGAATAGTCTCGGGATCAAAAGGTCACAATCTGAAGTAATGTTAATATTAGCTACTAATCTAGTTATATTTTTATCCTCGTTTAATAACTCTGTGAAAAGAAAAAGAATTGAGTGCAATCAAACTAATAAATTAAGAGTTTAAATTGAGTCGAGAATTTCGCCTTTTAGTTTTCAAATTGAATGCGATAAATCACATGCAAAGGATTCCCAATTAAATAGCAGCATTGCATGTGGAGAACAAGAAACCAAAATTAGTGAGATTTAGAACTAGGAAGATTCTTGTGGCAATTATCAACCTTATAAATTTTAATTCAAACCTTTCAATTATGCATGCATTTCAGTGCCGAAGACAGTAGGTTGGGGGTTCATAAATTTTCTGTCACGTGAGAGGCAACATGCACACTAGTTGTAAATTACTTGGCGTTAACCTAATTAATTACTTTCTACGGTCCACAATAAGTGATAAATTTATCTTTTTATTTTGGTCCCTGTGGAATCTTATAACGATGAATGTTTAAAAGTTTCCCTGATTCAACGCAATTACTTAAACTAAGAGGTCGTTCTTTTACGAGATAAAAATTGTAATGTTGGGATTAATAATGTATGGATTATAAAGTATGAATTGTCATATTAGTATGGCGTCTCGCACAATGTAAGATTTAAAATGTATTTGTTTACATTTGTCATTGTTTAACACATACGGATTATTTTGGACTTTTTATTTGCTTTAATCCATATATTATTATTTCCCGCATTCTTATTCCACTTTCAATCCTCCATAGAATAATATTAAAATTCTTACATAACTTACCCAAGAATTATCTATATCTATCTAATCTATAATATTATAAAAGTGGAAATTCCTTAACTAAAAAATTAAATTACATAAATGCCCTTGTAAATAATTTAAATACGTTATTTATACCAATTTTTTAAATAAACGCCAAATTTATTTGAAGGGATGTGATCCTTCACCTTAGTGAAAGTGGCGACTCTTTACAATATTTAGATGTAAAGGACGCCTAGAAAGGACGCCTCTCTTCATACACTTGCAATTTAATGGCCCCTCTTATAACCTACTCATAAATAATAAATAATCTGTTCAATTTTTTTGGAAAAAATAAAACTAAGGAGACACCAAAAAACTATGCCTGCCTTCAGATGCTTTTAATCTTAAAAAGAAAAAGAATGCCAAGCTTCAGACAAAACGTTGTTTCTAACGTTGCTCCTATGAAGCCCTTGCAACTGTTTAGTGTGATCCTCTGGAAAAAAAAAACTTCCCATGACACTTTCTACTCATGTTCGATCGTCTTTGTTAATGCTGGTATTATTCTGTCCATCTATCTTTCCCTCTAAATTCACGGCGATATTCGTAGGCGAAATGCAAGTGCGCTTCTACTTGAATTTTATTTGTTAGATTTTCTACAATGGAGTAAATTAAGAAGCAATTTGGTTCATAGCAATTGAATGATAAAGATATAAACAATTTAATGAATTAAAAATTGAATGAAATAGATCTGAGAATAGTGAAGGGAATAAAGCATGGTTTGTTCAATGAGATAAGTGATTCAAGAATAAATAATAGAAGACTTCTTTTAAATTCTGACTTTACAGAATTTACGTCCTACACATTACAAATTTTGTCTTTACAGATATATAATGTGCATATATTTTGCCTACTGTATTAGTATACGTTACTCATGGTGTAACTATAACTCCTTATGTTAACGTGGACTTTGGATAAAATTTGATGTTACAAATGTGGAACACTAAAAATACTTTTTGAATCACTGCAATATTGAAATTACCTTTTCAAGTCTCAAAAACAAAATTGTTTGCTTATTAAATACTAAGTTTTTTAGAAGTCGCTAAAGTTCCAAATCACAAAATAAATCAACAAAACATTGTAAATCTTATCCTGATTTAAGTGGTAGCCAATGCCGATTTGTGTTCTTCATTGTTCTCTATTTTTGTTCATTGTTTACTCATGTAATACCTCTCATTTACTATATGTCTATCATTCTATTGCGTAGATATTATTATCTATTTTGATATTAACCATTTATTTTCTATATATATATATATATATATATATATATATAGAAAATAACTTTTTATAGAATTCGGTAGTTGAGAAGATGATATTTTCTCCTTGTCTGAATTCTTGATTCGAGAATCATGACGTTGTTTCTTGGATTGTTGAACCAATCTTTTTATTTAAAATTATGTTGTGATTATTTTATTTGTAGGTACAGGAAGTTATTTTTTTGTTACTTTATTTTTTTTACAACATGGGTAGAAGTTGTGAATTATATGTTATATTGGTTGGTTTATCAGAGAACATAGAAGTTGTAAAGCTTTGGCTAGAGAGAGCAAAAACCACACAGGTGATGTCTTCCGAAGGAGCTGAAAAGCCACGAAAATGTGGAAAAGGGGTACCATGAATTTACAAAAAATGAATTCATTGTCGGGGACATTTGGGAGCCTTTTTCATCCACTACAAAAAATGGGGTATTTGCGGCGGACTATTATGCGGCGGTTCAGAACTGCTGTAATTATAATTAATGGCGGCTTTCAAAACCGTCAGAATCGCTTTCACCAAAAGGTATAATACGTCGGTTTTCCTTTAACCGCCGCAATATGTCAAAGAAACTGCCCCAATATGTATTGTTAAAATTGGCTATTTACTTTTGCTGTTTGTGGCGATTATTAACCGCCATAATTGTTGTCTTTAAAATTATAGCCAAAAGTTGTCCAGTTTATAGCCAAAAACTGCCATAATTGTAATATTTTTAATGTTAAGTTTTTAATTCCACATTTAGATCCTTTGTACTCCACAAAATCCATCATAATATGTAATCAAGCACCCATCATAATAATTAACATAAATTATAGAGAATTAGATAAGCAAAATATTCATCATATTAAAACATAAGTGCCCAAAATCCACATCATCCAAGATATAAGTTTAAGTTGCAAAGAGTTATTCAACAGTTACAACACAAAAAAAATATAGTTCATCCTAACAATGATTACTAATTGTCATTTGCTTCATTTTCATAGTTACTTTCGTCAAAGGATGGCCCGGTTGGTGACAGAACGTCATCTCCAACGCCATCTCCTAGATTGGGTGCCTGCATAAAAAAAAACTAATTAGTAGTCTCAAACATTTACTTTAAAACACTTCAATCACTGCTCTCATTCCACCAGCCTTTTACTGAGAAACAATGGGTGTTAACTAAGCAAACAAAAATGAACAAAGAGTGCTTCTTTTTAGCTTCTCCACTATTGGACCAAGAGGAGTTGTTCTCATCGAAACCATTGCCAAAGCAACTTCCTATAGAAAATGACAGCACCATAAACATCTGTAGAAACAGCAAATACTTTCCAGGTCTGTATTCATAATAATTCAGCTTCCAAAATATGTGTTATTTCACTTGGTTATTCTATATGGACATACAAATCTTGAATGTGAAAACAAAGAAAAAATAAGTACTTGTACCTGTGAAGGAGTCGAAAATAAGTGAGCAAACTCCTTGGAAATTTTCTGATGTTTGGCTAAAAATCCATATTTTTGCATGTAATTAGCCTTGCATTATACCTCGATCTTGTTAATTTTTATGTGAATATTTGTGACTCGAGCTTAATAATGTTATTTATATGTGTAAGAGTCAATCGGAAGTGATTTGAAAAGTTTTTAATGCAAATGGACGTCAAAATGGAAGAATTTGGAGGAAGTATAAGTTTGGTGCCAGGCACCAACCAAAACGCCATTGACAGAAGTGGAAAAGGTTTGTTATCCAGGTTGGCGCCAGGCGTCAACCGAGATGCCAAAGGACGGATTTTGTCCTAATTCGACTGGGACTTGGGGATTTCAACCCTACACGTCCCCAACATATATAAAAGGGGTTCTAAACCTATTTTAGTGGGGGGGATCGAACATACTTTGGACCAAGGGAGAGCATGGAGCCGCCGTGGAGGCCAAAATTTATCAGATTCCATCTTTCTTCTATCAAACTTATTAATCTTTACGTTTCTTTGGATTAATTGTTGTTTTACTACCGTGTCTATGTGGAGCTAAATTTCGCGTTTTAGGGTTGTGATTTTCATGAATATTGAAATTTATTAATTACATCACCGTTAATTCCAGTTATCATTGTTGGTTGTTTCTCTAATTCTGTACATAATTGCTTAATTGTTTGGCCATCAATTGAGTTCTATTTACTATCTATATTATGTGTAATGACCCAACCGGTCGTTTTGAATATTTGCACTTCGCTCGGTAGTTTACGGGCACGAGTAGCTCCGTATGATGTATTATAACTTATGTGAATCGTCGGTTTTGATTTTCATGTTATTCGGGACTGATTTGAAAGAATGATTCTCAACTAGGGAGCTTTAAATTTGAAAGAGTTGACCAAGTTTGACTTTTTAACATTTGACCTCGGATTGGAATTTTGATTGTTCCGTTAGCTCTATTGGATAATTTTGGACTTGGGAGCGCGTCCGGATTGTGATTTGGAGGTCCGTGGTTGAATTTGGCTCGAAATGGCCAAAGTTGAAATTTTAGAAAATTTGTCCGGGAGTGGACTTTTTGATATCAGGGTTAGATTCCGATTTCAAAAGTTGGAGCAGGTCCATAATGTCAAATGTGACTTGTGTGCAAAATTTGAGGTCAAACGGACGTGATTTGATAGGTTTCGGTATCCATTGTGGAAGTTTGAAGTTTCAAAGTTCATAGATTTCGATTTGAGGTGCGATTCGTCATGTTGATGTTGTTATGTGTGATTGAGGCCTCAAGTAGGTCTGTATTATATTATGGGACTTCTTGGTACATTTGGACAGGGTCCCGAGGGGTTCGGGTGAGTTTTGGACGTAGTTCGGATAATTTTAAATGGTTTTTGCATTGTTGATTTTTCTGCTGTTACCTAATGCTTCTGACGTTCTTCGCGATCGCGAAGGCGTGGCCGCGATTGCGAAAGATGTTTGGTAAGTGGAGCTATATGTTCTTCGCGTTCGCGCTTCTGAGGTCGCGTTAGCACTGGTTTGAAAATTGTAGTCTTCGCGTTAGCATCCATGGCTATGCGTTCGCGTAGTGTTGAGCGGGGATTGGTAAGTCTATATGGATTCTTCATCGCGTTCGCAGTGAGTTGTCCACGATCGCAGAAGTTTGGTAGTGTGTTTCATCACGTTCGTGAGGGTTTTGCCGCGAACGCGTAGTGCAAAGTGAGGCAGTGTGGATTTCTGCTTCGTGAATGCGAGGCTTCTACCGTGTTCGCGTAAGAGGATGCCTCGGCAGAAGTATAAAGTACTCTATTTCGAGGGTTTCAGCCATTTTTATATTTTGGGACCTATGGAGCTCGGATTGAGGCGATTCTTGAAGTAATTTTCACCATATGAATTGGGGTAAGTGTTCTCTACTCGGGTTTGGTTATATTTCATGAATCTATCTTTATTTTTTGTAATTGGATTGTGATTTTCAAAGAGGAAATTGGGGGTTTTGGCCTAAAGTTTCATAATGTGAATTTTGAGTTTTGAACATCGATTCGAAGTCAGATTTGAGTGAAACTAGTATGGTTGGACTCATAACTGAATGGATTGTCGGATTTTATGAGTTTTGTTGGGTTCTGAGGTGCGGACCTGGGTTGGACATTTTGGCCGATTTTTAGTTTTTGATTAAAGATTCGACCTTTTTCATTTGTAGTGCTGAGGGTACGAAATCCCGAATTACGTGTTATGTGATTGGTATTGAGGTGACGCACATGCTAGGTGACGGGTGTGTGGGCGTGCACCATGTGAATTGTGACTCCGTTGTTTCTTTGGCACTATATAGTGGCCCTATTTTTGTTGATATCTGTGTTATTACCATATGATAAAGTAAATGAGCTGTCAATCATGCTAAATATCATGTTTAGGCTTTATGCTGATATTGTTAGGACCCATAGTGGTTGTTTCTTGCTGTCATCTCACTGATTTCATTGATATATCATACTCAGTCATATTCATGCATTCATATCATATCTCAGTCTTAGTTGTTATTTATTTATACATCATATCATTGTTGTCGGGCTAGTTTCATGACATTTTGAGCCCGTGAGTGCGACTGGAAAGATTGATGACTGAGTGAGCCCAGGGGCTTGTTTGTGAGGATATTGATACTATAGCACGTGAGTTGTCCGTGCAGTACGTGAGTTGTCTGTGCGGATCCATATATTGATACTATAGCACGTGAGTTATCCGTGCAGCACATGAGTTATCCGTGTGGATCCAGATATTGATATTTTGACACGTGAGTTGTCCGTGCGTATTATAGCGCTTGGGCTGTAGGAGCCCTTCTGGAATCTGCACACCCCCAGTGAGCGCAGTCGACTATAAATATATGAATCGGGCTGCATGCCGCAACGAGTATTGTACAACGCTGAGGGATTGAGTGTGCTGAACATTGAGCATAGTGATAGCAGATGCGAGATAGTGAGATTGAGTACTCTAAGAGTGTGAGTACATGATTCATCTCTGAGATACATGCCATTGGCATGCACACATGACATACAGACATAGAGATGCATTTTTTCTCACGATGTACGGTATCATTCATGACTTTTTACACACATTGATATGTGGGCATAGAGAGGTATTTTACACTTGCTATCTGGAAAGAAAATGAAACAACTTATTTATTATGGAAAGGATATTTGGAAACAAAATTACAGTTTTCAAACTTACTCGTATATTTGGCATTTTCGGTAAAAGATTTGGGTTTTTACTAAGATACTTGAAAATCATGACTATTTTCTGAAACTGTGAACGAGTTGAGCATTTTATTTCTGATATAATCTCTTATTACTTGTATTATGCTGTTATGAACTATTGTGGGATATTGGTATTGGACACGACCTTGTGTTAGCTCGTCACTACTTTCAACCTAAGGTTAGGTTTGTTACTTACTGAGTATATGGGGTCGGTTGTACTCATACTACACGTTTGTACCTTGCGTGCAGATATTGGTCGCTGATGTTGCTGTGTTCGATGGGAGCTGGATTGAAGATGTACCTGCATCCCGGTTGTAGCTGCCCCTTGTTTGTGGTAGCTTTAGATCAATAAAACTCTATTTATGTACTTTTCAAACAGACGATGTATTTATTTCATTTCATCTTTGTAAATTCTATTATTAGAAGCTCATGATTTGTACTACCAGTCCTTGGGAAATGTATAAAATTCAATAAATTACTATCGTTTATTTGTCTTGTTAATATCATTAAAATTGGATAGTTACTAGTTGGCTTACCTAGCGAGTTGGGTTAGGTGTCACACGACTAGTGAATTTGGGGTCGTGACACTATGTTTTGGAAAGCAGTGTTTAGATTAGAATAGAATTAGAGAGAGCATGTTTCTGAACCCGTGGCTCGGGGAAAGATTTCGCGGTTAGGATATGAATATACCTAATAATCTTGCTTAGTTGAATACCCTATTATATTCGTTTATGATAGACTCAATACCATAGGAATATAGGATTGATATATTGTGGATAGGCAAATAGTATTGTGAGAACATGCTATTCATATAAACGATCCGGTCAACTAACAATCATAGATAATTCAGATTAACAGGTGTAATTACGAAATCAATAGGATTGACAAACCTACCACAACCCTGAAATCTTCATCTCCTTTGATTAAAATCCAACCAAAATCGTTTGCTCCTAATTAATTTAGCTAATTGCTTGTTTAATTTATGCAAAAGTAGTTTAGTAAAAAAATAATATTATTTATTATCTTGGACAGTAAATTGATTTTAGTTTGCTTAGTTAACGATTAATCTAAGTCTCTGTGGGTTCGGCATCCGACTTTCGAGTCACTTTATTACTTGACGGTCACGTATACTTGTGTGTACTTGGGGAACCAACAAGTTTTTTGGCGCCGTTGCCGGGGACTTAGTTATTGATTGTTTATCTACGTTAAGCTTTTAATTGATTTCTCTTCAATTTTTAAATTTTATTATTTAGTTAGTATTTTTTTCTTTTTCTTTTTCTTTTTATTTTCACATGGCATCTTGGAATGAAAATTATTTGAATGATAGTTATTCTTACTTTGATGATCCTTGTCCATATTGTGGAGGACCCTACTAGTGGAAATATTGTCAAAATATTCCCGGGAGTGAGTTCAGAGCACCATCTCAATCTTATGAGTGGAATATTTGTAATATGTATGGTGGTCAAGGTGGCCATTGGGATGGCTGTCCTAATTATTTTTATCCTTCTTCGAGCACTTATTATGATATTTCTAATAAATTTTGTGAGTTTGACAGGAACAAAGTGGAGAATGTAGAATATGATGCTCAGACTATGGACTTGTTGAGGCAATTAGTGAAACAAACTGTTGAACGCCGAAAAGACTTTGAAAATTTCAAGGCAACAATCAAGATAATGGAGGCTAAAGTGAGTGAAATGTCTGAGCCATGTACGGTCCGACAATCAATTGTAGAGGATATTGGTCACGAGTTTTGTGAAGTCGAAGAAGAATTTGAGAGCCCATCTATGGTGCAAGAAGTAGAACTCCAAGAACTACTTGATATCGAACGTGATGCCTATATTACGGATATATTGAAGCAAGTAGCAGAGTAACATGACGAACTCAGATGATCTATGAACAGAATGAGTGCAACAATCACCAGAATGAAGGCCAATGCAGAAGACTTTGCCGAAGAGAGCGAGTTTCATCAAAAGGAAAATTTTGAAGAAGTGGAGATTTTGAGCCAAACTTGGCTAATGGAACAAGCTGAACGATTAGAAATATATAAGGCTCAACATGATAAAATTATGGATGGGATGAAATACTTAATAGAAGGAAGAGCTGAACTGGGACAAGAGATCGAAAAATTTGGCATTCCTATTCATGACTTGGGAGCTCAATTGAATGCAAAGTTTGATGCGTCTAACGCCCAACAAAATAGTTCTGAGTTGTGTGAAGCTGAAAAGGAGCTTATACGCCAAATTGAGGAGCTAAAAGTGGAGAGTCGAGCATTATACCATATTTTTCTTGAGGATGCCAATATTGAGAAGAGTGTTCTAGAGTCATGTGATAAAGTAGATAATATTATATTTGAAGACTCTAGTGTGCGTATATATGAGGATGTAAATAATGACGCAATACTAGAGTTGGAACGCATTGGTCCTCATTCCATCCATTTCTCAACATTGTGTTTGGATGATGATATGGGAATTGAGTCATTCGAGCCTTTGGAGGAGCCAACGGACGAGGAACAAGGTGCTTACATTCTTGAATTTTTCATGCCAGAGAGACAAAATTACATACCTCATCTGAAGGCTAAGAAATATAGAATGCAAAATTGGTTACTTGGCCCAATTATATTTGTCCCACCACCCCGAGAACATAGCAAAAAGCTTGAAGCCAAATTGGGGGCTTAATTCATAAGTTCGAGGTGGAGGCAAAAAGTGACTCAAGTCGTGTCGCGACGTTAAATTAGGCGCTTGTTAGGAGGCAACCCAGCTTTACTGATTTCTTTTATTTTTATTTTTGTAATATTTTTTCTTTGTATTATTTGTTTCTATTTTGTAGGATTACAAGCATAGGAAGCAAAGCCATTGGAAGAGTGCAAAAGCGAGCTAGATGGTGAGAACTAAGTGTGGGGTACCCACACAAAGGACCGTACCTGGGAGAAGTCTGAGTACCTCGTGAGCCGTGATTGCTTCGGCCTTTGGCATTTCAGGGAGTTTCTTGTCCACCCTCGTTATTGTTTTGCTTTATTTGTGCATTGGGGACACTGCACTCTTTTAAGTGTGGGGTGAGAGAATTCCTCTAGATAATTAGTAGTAGTATGTTAGTAAAAATATTAACTTCTTATTTTGATTTTAGCTTCTTATTTTTTATTTTCGTAGTTGTGTGATATTTTAGTAGTTTAATTTTTTTTAATAAAGAAAAATCGGAAAAAAGTAAAAAAGGTTAGACTTTTCCCGACGATGGATCTCCTAGACAGTTTTCTTGAGGGATTAAAGTAAAAACAAAAAATATAAAAATATGTTTTTTAGTTAGTAATAATCCCCCGTGGTTTTTCTTTGTACCTCGGTTCTTTTCCATGGGATGTAGTTTGAACCGGGTAGTAGTTTTTTTTTAGCGTAGGATTTAGGAAAAAATGAAGGAAGAAATATGAGAGTCCTGGGCGCTCTTGACTTGTTTGATAGTAGCATATTTAGGCATCGGCATGTGTAGTATCTTCACTATATTTTGAAATTGATCATGATGCCATTATAATTTGGATAGCATATTTTATGACGCCTATGTCTCATTTTCTTGACTTATGTTAATTTTGTGCTTAATGCTTAATATCTTGTGGCTCCGTGAATACTTGCATTAGTTTGAGAGTCGGAATGAGACCGTCCTTAGTGAGTCATGTGCCATGTGTGAAGTGAGATATTTATGGAGTCCATGTCATTGTACTTGTGTCTAGAACTTGCCCGGTATGTTAGTTGAAGCGAAAGTTTAGGTGATGCTCGGTTTGAAAAATGATTTTAGGCTTTCTTTGATCTTTTCGAGCTTAAATGCTTATCACAAATAAAATCTATCCTTAGTTAACTATTTTGAGCCTATACACTTTTATTTGGCACCCACATTACAAGCTTATACCCTTTTTGTTCTTACTTTACATTATTTTGATCCTTTTACCCCTTAAAGCACTTTAATTGTGAAATGAGCGCTAAAAGAATTAAGGAGGGAATTTTGGTGGCTTTCTAGTGGAACCAATGAAAGGAAGAAAGGTGCACTTATTTTGTAAAAGAATACACCACTAGCGAAAATTATAAAGAAAAGGAAAAATTTAGATGAATAAATTGGTATCTTGTTCTTGCTAGTGAGTATAAGTAAAGTAGTGCCTAAAGAAAGAGGGAACGTTGTTAGGGATGATTTTAGTTGTGAAATTGAAGTTGGGATTGAATATTTTGCACTTACAGTTGATTACGAGATGTGTTAAAGTGCTTAGTGGGGTTAGCCACTATTCCTAAATATATCCTTCCCGTCCCTTAGCTCACATTACAACCATGAAAAAGTTCTAATTGATTTTAGATCGAGTGAGCCTACATTAGTAGAGATTTACATTAAGGACAATCCTATGGTACCAATTGCATGCATGTGACTTTTTTTGTGAGAGTGAGCACTTTTTTTTGATATATATGAGTCCTTAAAATATATTTGAGCATTTGATTTGAATATGTGGATTCAACTTACTCTTTTGTTCTTGTTGTGAGGGCACATGATTTCACGAGGGATAAGTAACGTTATTAGACTTCTCTAGGATGTTGGGTATTCAAGCCATGTGTTCAATGTGACACTAAGTCGGTTTTAGAGGCTAGGATTGTTATAAGCTTGTTGTCTTTATTGTGAATATTTTTGAAGAATGGCAAAAGTTAAAGGGAAGTGTAAGTGATTGCATATGCTACAGTTTAACTGTTTCTATCAACCGTGGTTATTGGTGTAGTGTACTTCAAATGTGTAAATATAAAGTGCTCAAGAATAGTGTGAATTGTTGGTTGCTCGAGGACGAGCAAAAGCTTAAGTGTGGGGTGGTGCTGTTTGGCTAAAAATCCATATTTTTGCATGTAATTTGACTTGCATTATACCTCGATCTTATTAATTTTTGTGTGAATATTTATTACTCGAACTTAATAATATTATTTATATGTGTAAGATTCAATTGAAAGTGATTTGGAAAGTTTTTAATGCACATTGACGTCAAAATGGAAGAATTTGGAGGAAGTATAGGTTTGGTGCCCAAGTTGGTGCCAGGCACCAACCAAAACGCCATTGATAGAAGTGGAAAAAGTTTGCTGTCCAGGTTGGCGCCAAGCGCCAAGCGAGACTCCAAAGGGCAGATTTTGTCCTAATTCGGCTGAGACTTGGGATTTCAACACTACACGTCCCCAACATGTATAAAAGGGGTTCTAAACCTATTTTTGAGGGGGATCAAACATACTTTGGATAAAGGGAGAGCACGGAGCCGCCGTAGAGGCCGAAATTCATCAGATTCCATTTTTCTTCCATCAAACTTGGTAATCTTTACGTTTCTTTGGATGAATTGTTGTTTTGCTACCATGTCTTTGTGGAGCTAAACTTCGCGTTTTAGGGTTGTGATTTTCATGAATATTGAAGTTTATTAATTACATCACCGTTAATTCGAGTTATCGTTGCTGGTTGTTTCTCTAATTCTGTGCATAATTATTTAATTGTTTGGCCAGCAATTGAGTTCTATTTACTATCTATACTTTGCTTGGGAAAGCAATATTTAGATTAGAGTAGAATTAGCGAGAGTATATTTCTGAACCCATGGCTCGGGAAAATATTTCGCGATTAGGATACGAATATACCTAACAGTCTTGCTTAGTTGAATACCGTATTATATTCGTTTATGATAGACTCAATACCATAGGAATATAGGATTGATATATTGTGGATATGCGAATAATATTGTGGGAACATGCTATTCATATAAATCCAACCAAAATTATTTGCTCATAATTAATTTAGCTAATTGCTTGTTTAATTTCTGCAAAAGTAGTTTAGTAAAAAAATAACATTATTTATTATCTCCTCTGATTAAAATCCAACCAAAATCGTTTGCTCCTAATTAATTTAGCTAATTGCTTGTTTAATTTCTGCAGAAGTAGTTTAGTAAAAAAGTAACATTATTTATTATCTTGGACAGTAAATTGATTTTAGTTTGCTTAGTTAACGATTAATCTAAGTCTCTGTGGGTTCAGCATCCGACTTTCGAGTCACTTTATTATTTGACGACCACGTATACTTATGTGTACTTGGGGAACCAACAATTTCCTATTTTCATTTGAAATAAGCTTATTAGCGCATTTAATTATGATCTCATATTTTCCATCTCTTGCAACCATTATGGAGGTGGAGCACTAGCGCTAGCTGCGCCCATATAAGAACAATTACCTCGTATTGATGTTTGCTTGAATACTACAGTTGAAACTGCACCCATGCCTAAGCCTCGAACACGACCAGGGTGCTCGGGACTGAAGACTACACCAAGCGCGTCATTCGGTGAAATTTTTGCCAGAGTTTCTGGTCTTTGTCTTCGAATTTTTTTAATTCTTTCCTACACGAGAGACAAAATATAATTACAAAAGCCTACTACAACAGAATGTACTACCGAATCATTGGCTATATACTGTCACTGGCCATGGTAACTGACCGTGATATAACGAGTTTAATTAGATAGATAATGTACATAAATTAATTCCTTCAGATAGTACATTTATCTCTGGCTTAGTAATACTAGCTGGTCCTGAACTAGCACATCATGGATGTCTCCTTTTTAATGCAATACAGTTACACGAGGGAAAGAAAAGGATCAAAATGGCTTCAGTGGTATCACTTGTTATCAAGAAGTTGCTGCACTTATTGTTCTGTTTATACTATTCAGGAATCAATTAGGGTTAACATTTCTGCTTTTGTTAGGCAATTTTTCTTCATCTTTGATGCAAGTATTGCAGGCAATTCAAGAGCAAGAGAGATCTCTTAGAGACACATTCAAGAAACACTCAATAGACTACCCTACTTATGTCCATGTATAGCTTTAACTGAAAGTATATATATGCAAATTCATTACTGCAGAAGTAGTTAACAATGACACAAATGAAACCATCTGAAAACGTCCTATGGGAAAGGAAAAAAAAAGAGAACTAATCCACTGCACATATATAACTCTTTTGTCATTTATTGTAGCATGTTCCAGAAAATATTGGCTGCTATGGAGTAATATAGGAAAAGAAAAGTAGGAAATAGATTATGCAATGGCTAATCAAGATTAAGGTAGAAGAAACTGTTCTTATCATGGCATTGATGTAGGTGACAAAATGTACTAGAGAAACTAAGTTTTTATAATAATGGATTGGGACGAACTTAAAAGGAGCGACATGGACAATGAGAAGCTATATAGCTGACTCTAATTTGCTTGGGACTGAGTAGTAGTTTTTGTCGTTTAGACTAAAGTTTAGGCAATTAGTAGAATGCAGCAGCAGTGTTTGATCCAAGGATTGTCTCGCGGCTGCTGGTTTGAGGATTCAGATTACTTTCAATTTATCACTCTGCCACCTATCAGCATGTACTAATAATTTAAAGTTAAACTCCTCACTGTATCACCACACGTTTTCAGATGTTTTCATTAAGTATGAAAATGGATATGGAACAAGATTAGCATAATAAAACTGTTTAAATCTATCAAATGAAATAACAGTAATCATGTCAAAACTTACCCCAATCTCCCTAGCTTGATCATTCACATAACTCCCATCTTTCCTCTCATGAGTCTCAGTCCACACTTTGCCTCGATCAACTTCTTTTCCGTGTTTCTTCTGAATGTTTTAAAAAGTAAAATTAAACTAAATAACTCTTGTCACATTAAAGCAACGGTAAGTACGTCGTATTAAACTACCATCAAAGCCCTTCTTCTAGCCAAACTCATAGCACCACTAGTATGGGGAAGTATTTGTTGTTGTCGAATCCGTTGTTTTCTCCAGCAAAGCGCCTACGAGTCAAAATAGGAGAATTTTTGTTACATATAAAAAGCAACAAGGGGCCCAATTGCATTAAGCAAAACAAAAAAAGGGAAAAAAAGAAGCCACAACAGTGGCAGAGAAGAAGCAGCGAAACAAAAAAGGAAAACAAAACAGAAGCAACAGCAGTAGAGACAAGAAGAAGAAGAAGAAGAAGAAGAAGAACCTTTGTTTTCTCTTTTGAACGATAGTTAACATACAATGCCCATTGGTCCATGGAAATTCCTTCTGGAGTATTCTTGATGATATTTTCTTTACTCAATAATGGATCCTCAGCCTCATGCCATAGTTTAAGCCTGAAATCCTTCCACTTTTTTAAAGAGAATTGTTAATCCAACCTTTTACCTTTTGCTGATCACTCGTAAAGAAAAATCGAGACTTCAAAAAAATAATATATGTTAGTTTATTGATGACAGAACTATAACATATAAACTAAGCAAAAGAATTAAAAGGCATTACCATTACGAAATCATTAAAAGCATGGTCCATAAAAGGTTTAGGAATGGATGCCCAAACTCTCGAAGCCAATAGGAAAGTATCGAGGATTTGTAGCAAGCTTCCCCAAAAATCCTGCAAGAAGGCCGGCTGATTTTTCAATAGGTTGAGCAAACTCATCACATTCTACAATTATACACAATCCATTCTCCAATTTATGGACGTCCTAAACCTTAAACCTAATAGATTTGATCACTTGATGTTCATCTGCAACAAAATAAAGACCATATAAAAATATTAATCGAGGAAACAAAATCATTTTTAATTTATATGTACCTATAACATTGACAACCCAATCAGGAGGCTCTGAGTCATCTGTAACTCGTTTACGTCTAGTTGGTTGTGAAGAGACTGCATCAGATAATAAAGATGCAATAATATTATGTGACGAGACTCCATCAGATGATGAAGATGGAATGATATTCTGTGATGAGATTCTATTAGTTGATAAAGATGGAATGACATTCTGTGACGAGACTCTATTAGTTGATGAAGATGGAATGACATTCTGTGATGAGACTCTATTAGTTGATGAAGATTGAACGATGGGCTGTGTATGACGTAAAGAGAGTCGATCAGAAGATGAAGATGAAGCTTGAACCTAAGACTGCGCATGTGATGACTGCTCTGGAGCAAGTGAAGAGCTCCCTTTGATTGATTTGATTGATTTTTCACCCGAAATATTAACAGAAGGAAATCCCCATGCATCCTTTCTAAACCCTTTATCCCTAGTTGTGTCAGCCCATTTACACTTGAATAGTGTAATCCTAAATCGATAGTAGTTAAACTCAATGATGTTTTCTAATTTGCCATAATATGGCAAATCTACTTGCCTCAGGTATCCATCAGTACCACTAGCAATACAAGATGTGGACGAAGTCAAAAAAATCCCATTGTTTTGCATTTTCAACCTATGCTCTCGAGTTGTTGTCCGAAATTTGAACCTATTGATATTAAATGATGTAAACCTTCTAGTATATGGTGTTGGACCATCTGCTAAAAACTTTAGTACATCAGACACAGTATTTGAAGTGGATTAACAATCTGAAACAAGAATGTAAAATGTGTTGGTCACAAATTTAAAGTTATAAAATTCTAATACATTTGTAACCAACCTGTCAAGGAAACCAATCAATGAAGTCTTTATTAACTAGCTTCTCTATCTCCGTATTTGAAGGCTTTCGGCCCTTCCACCGCCTCCGTACATAACCTTTAAATTCCCAACATGAGATGTTGATATAAATATAACAATTAACATAAGTTTTCATGTATTTAATGTATGTTTTATTTAGATATGCCTTAAATACTCACTTAATGAATGGCATGACTTGTGGACAATTTAGTAATACATATCGATGTGCTTGACATTTTGCCATAGGTGACAACTCAAATGTTACAGCTCCTAGTCCTTTAGCAACTGGTGGGAAAATACTAGATGAATTCACCGAGCCTCTATCCTCCGGAAAATCGTCAAGACGATGTGGCCTATTACATCTTGTCTCAATCCCTTCAATAAAATGGGAAGAAAAAGTAAGAGCCTCTTCATCTAGATATCCTTCAGCTATAGAACCTTCTGGTTGTGATATGTTTCGCACATAGGATTTGAAGTGTCCCAAATACCTAAACAAAAGATCAAAAATTCGTTGATGGATACAAATTAACATCTATTCTTAATGAACAACCTCCAATTAAGTAATAAGAAATATTGTTTACCTCTCGATAGAATACATCCACTGACACTGTTGAGGTCCCCCAAGTTTTGCTTCACCAGCTTGATGATAAGTTAAATGAACCATGATTGTAAAGAATGTAGGAGGGAATAACATTTCCAGGTGATTCATGGTGAGAAAATATCGAGACTGGAGCCTGCCAAGGTCTAAGGGGCTTAAGCTTTTGGCACAGAGTTGATGGAAGAACGAACTCAACTTATTAATACTACAGTCACCTTGTCAGGAAAAATATTACATATGGCAATTGGTAACAAGTGCTGCATGAGAATGTGAAAATCATGACTCTTCGTTGACTTGAGCTTTTGTTGTTTCAAGTCGACACATCTTGAAATGTTGCTAGCGTATCCATCAGGCATTTTGACATTATTTAAAGTACGCAAAACTATGTCTTTCTTAAATCCACTGTTCTTTGAATTTAAAAGAGTGAACAAGGTTGGATGATAGCTTCCATTCTCGTCTGCCCAAAGTTCTTTCCTTATACCCATTTCTCTAAGATCATTCCGAGCTTTAAGATTGTCTTTTGACTTTTTAGTATCATTGAGCAAAGTATATATCACATTCTCACACACATTCTTCTAAATGTGTATAAGGTCTAGATTATGACACAACAAGTTAGATTCTCAATAAGGAAGATAAAAAATATGCTTCTCTTTCTTCACTATTTCAGTCTATCTTCAATAATAGTTTTTCCTCGAGTTCTTTTACCTTTAGCATCTGACTCTGGTACTTTCCCAAAATTATCATTGATTCCCTCCATTTTTTTCAAGATGTCTGACCCTGATAATTCTATTGGTGACTCCCGTTGCTCGATTTTTCTATTAAAACGGACACGCTACAATCTAAACTGATGGCCGCTTTCAAGAAAACAATGATGACCCATTAAACACCATTTTCTACTATGTTTCAACCTGCAAGAGTCTGTATCAAAGTTACACGTAAGACAAGAAAATTGAGTGTATGTATTCCATCCAGATAAGGTACCAAGCCGAGGAAAATCACTAATTGTCCACATCAAGGCTGCTCGCATTTTAAATATTTCATTCTTTGAAGAGTCTAATGTCTGCACTCCATCGTACCACAATTCTCTCAACTCTTGGATAAGAGGTTATAAGTACACGTCTATGTCATTGCCATGCATTTATTTTCCTGGAATGATCATTGAAATAATGAATGAAGTTTGTTTCATACACTCCCAAGGAGGACGATTGTATGGAATAAGAACCACATGCTAAATACTATAGTTTGTTGCCATTGCTCCAAAAGGATTGAAACTGTCACTAGCTAGGCCAAGTCGTACATTTCGAGGATCTGCAGCAAATTCAGGATGAAGCAAGTTAAATGCTTTCCAAGCCTGAGAATCCCTTGGATGCCTCATCAATCCATCTTGGTTACCCGCTGAAGAATGCCATCTCACAGACTCAGCAGTTTTAGAGCACATGAATAATCTTTGTAACCTTGGCTTTAGTGGAAAGTAGCGCAAAATCTTTGCGGGCTGCTTCTTCTTATTGTCCTTTCACCTAGATGTCTTGCATTTTTTGCATTCTTGTAAGCCTTCATCTTCACAAAAATATAACATACAATCATTTAGGCAAGCATGTATCTTGGTATAATTGAGGCCAAGTTTGTTGATGGTTTTCTTGGCCTCATAAAAAGAAACAAGAATCTTGGAATCTTCAAAGGCATATTTTAACAATTCTAATATCAAACTCATCGCTTTGTCAGTCATTCGGCACAAACACTTGATATGATATAATTTGACTAGAAAGGATAATTTGGAATACTTCGCGCACACTTCGTATAATGGTTGGTTGCCATCTTCGATCAGTTCATAGAACTTTGTATATTCTTAATTATCCCCATCAATATACTCTTCATTAAATGTTTCTTCTCTATTCATAGGCTCACAAGACACACCAGGCTCATTTACATTGTTTCCTATGAACCCAAATGCATCGTTAATCATAGTTACTATTGGATCTTGGAGATGTAGAGTTTCTTCTATGACATGTGTGCTCTGAAACGTTTGTGCCATAGTTGCATTTGATTCTTCACCATGTAAATACCAAATTTTATAATTTTTGGGAAAAGGCTTACAAGTCAGGTGCTCTTCAACTATATTTCTTCTTTGGCACTTATTAAAACCATAATTTGGACACGGACACTTAATTACGCGTCCATCGATAGAATCATGTTCAAAAGAAAAATCCAAAAATCGTTTTAGCCCACATGCATATTCAGGTGTGTTTCGTGATTTGCTAATCTAAGATTTATCAATTGTCATAGCTAGAAAGAAATATTAAAAAAATATCATAATATCAAAACAAAAAAAGTTAGTTCATAGGTTTTGAAGAATCCGTAAATAGAAGGGAACAACTTGTTCATGGAAAAACAAAAAATACACGTGGAGTTATGTTCTGTAACAGTGGAGTTTGGTTAAGATAATACACAGCTATTTTAAGAATGTATTGTTTTAGGCCATTCTAGATGCTTTTGTATGCTTTACATGCTGTTCAAGCTTGTTCTGTGATAGTGTTACTCATAAAAGCTGATCAATTTATTCCTTGCACAACAAAGTAAAGAAACAACACAATTAATTATCAAATCTACAACAACCATTAACTAATCTTTTAATTGATAAAGAAAAAACCAAAAGTTAAATCTTTAATCAATTTAGAGTGTCTAGTGACAGGAAAAAGTTAACTACATCAGGAATATCTTCTGCTACCAATGATCAATCGCAAATGAGTACCTAACTGTAATTTCTCAAATAATGTCTTGAATTACATTGTCTATATCTGAAGAATATAACAGAAAGGATAAATAGACATTTCCCAGTTATGACATCATGCATGGTGCGATGGCCCTCTAGTAAAACATTATAACATCACAGTTAAAAGATACTTGTTTCTTCACTAGAATTACAATACTTCCGAATTGTTTAATCAAAATGAATTGACAACTGAAGAGAAGCCTAGATAATTGTAATACAGTACAAGAATAATGCATACCTATCAAATTGTTCACTGTCGACGTCGATCCCAATAGCTTCAGCTACCTATCAAGCGCAAATTTAATAATTAAGGTTAGTATTAGACTGAACAACAACTAAAAATATCAAAAATAAGCGCATGTATTTGACTACAATCAGACCAATTGAACAGAAAAAGAACAAAAAAATAGACTAAACACTAATAGAAAGAAGAAATAAAGAAATTGAGGAAAATCAGTACACTCTCAAACATGCATGAACTCTAGCAAATAGAAAAGAGAAGTCAACAACTAAACCAATAAAATCGACGGTTGCATCAGTAAAATTGACTGCAAAAACGGTGAAATTGACAGAAAACCAGTGAATCGACAGCTAAAATCAGTGATTTAAACTGATCTTCATCTAATACACATACATGCACGCCTTAAATCAATGAAATCAATGGCTAGATCAGCAAAAACGAAAGCAAAATCAGTGAAATTCACGGCTAAGATTAGTGCTTTAAACTGATATCCATCAAATACACACACATGCACGCCTTAAATTAGTGAAATCAACAGCATTTTGAAAGGAATTACACGAACGACTTGAAATAGGAGATGTATTAAAACATGTATTTATCAAAAAAGGGCTATTTATAGATGAATTGAAACACATTACCACATAACAAGTTGAAATCTGATCTCCTTACAAAAGCTAAAGGATTTGGGAGAATCGTTAAACGATATGACCTTAAACGATTTGGGGGAATCGTCTTTTTGAGAGAGAAAGAGAGAGATAGAAGGCGTAGAGAGAGAGAGAGAGAGATAAGAGCATCTAACCGGGGAGTTCTAAATATGTTGCTATTAAAATTATGTTTTTTATATTTAATCTTTTTGACAAGAGGGGTTGCTCTGATGCTAAGCAACCTTCACTTCCAACCAAGAGGTTGTGAGTTCGAGTCACCCCAAGAGCAAGGTGGGGAGTTCTTGGAGGGAAGGATGCTGAGGGTCTATTGGAAACAGCCTCTCTACCTCATAATAGGGGTAAGGTCTGCGTACACACTACCCTCCCCAGATCCCATTAGTGGGATTATACTGGGTTGTTGTTGTTATTGTATATTTAATCTTTTAGCCGGGGAGTTCTAAATAAAAAGAATTATTAAAAACTGTGTGAGTTAGTGGCGGTTTTGAACTGCCGTATTTTAAAAAAAAATGCCGTTTTAACATATGTCCTAATGACGTCTGGAACGCCGTCGCAATAATTCCGGTTTTTTGTAGTGATCAGTCATAAATAAAGGTAACGACTTAAAGAATCTTAAGATCTATTAATCTCGATTATGGAATTTTAAATGCATGTCATAGTTTGTATATTGTATGATTCCCTTTATGTATTCCCTATAGAGTATTCGTATTTGAGGTTTCAAAATCCACTGGTTTCTTCCGTTGTTTTACCTTCACTTTATTTGTTTCTTTACTCTGTCAATTTTTCATAAATTGTGGAGTTTAGAATATTTTGATGTGTCTATTGCATCGCTTGGTACTTTTTTCCAGAAAGATTATTCAACCTTCAACATAAAATAAGGGAATAAAGAATATATTTAATATAGGAAATAAAGCGATGTTTAAATCCCTTTAATATATGAAATCATGATTATTGCCTTTCAATATTCAAGAAAGAAACAAGGTAATCTTTGATGTTGTTGTTGTATGTTGGTTTGTGCTTCTTTACAAACTATTTTGACTTTAACAATTGTATTTATTGGCTATATGAAGTTCCAGTTTGGATCATTAGTTCGTACCTCATCTATTGTACTTTCGTTTCTATTATTAATTAGTCAAAATACTCTTGCTGCTTAATGTAAATCATTTTATACCAGAAAAAATGATCATTCAGCAGGTCTTGTGACCCTTTACCCATTCCCATAGTTTCTCAACAGCCAATTAATGACATAAAAAATACATACCCCTTAACTTTTTGATAGGTATTCTTCATCAGTTATAAAATATAATGTCACTCCTCTTGATTATTATGCAATTCTTCTTGAGAATTGAAGAGTACATTGTTATTTTTCTTTATTCAGTCTACTACTATAAGTATAGTATTGTAACGATCTGGCCGGTCATTTTAAGTGTATTAGCCCCGACTCCCTATTTATTGCCTTCTCTGTATTGTACTGTGGTTACGTGACTTCCCGGGAGGTTTGGTTTTTGGTTTCGGAGTGAAATGGGACACATAGTCCCTAAACTGGAAGTTTAAGTCGTAGGAGTTGACCGTAGCTTGACTTATGTGAAGACGACCCCGAAATAGAGTTTTGACGGTTCCAGTAGCTCCGTAGGGTGATTTTGGTCTTATGAGCGTGCCCGGATGTTGATTTGGAGGTCCGTAAGTCATTTCGGCGTTAGTTGATGAAAGTTCGAAATTGGTGGAATTTTGGGAAGTTTGACCGGAAGTGGACTTTTTGATATCGGGGTCGGATTCTGATTCCGGAAGTTGGAGTAGGTTCGTAATGTCATTTCTGACTTGTGTGCAAAATTTGAAGTCAATCGGACTTGATTTGATAGGGTTCGATATCGAATGAAGAAGTTAAAAGTCTATAAGTCCATTAGGCTTGAATTGGGGTACGGTTCGTATTTTTGATGTTGTTTGAGGTGATTTGAGTCCTCGACTAAATTCGTTAGGTGTTTTGGAACTAGTTGGTATATTCTAACGGGGTCCCGGGGGTCTCGGGTGTGATTCAAATCGGTATCAGAAAGAAATTTCAACTTGTGAAAATGCTGAAGCTCCTAGTTCTGGTGTCATTGCATCTACGGAAGGATTAGCCGCGGGTGCGGACTCACAGGCATGGCTCACAGGTGCGACAATTGTTCCGCAGAAGCGGCATCGCTTCTGCAATGGAGAAGAATGCAAGTGCGTCCAGAAGCGCAGGTGCGACTTAGTCGCCGCAGGCGTGACTTGCCCTCGCAGATGTGAAGTGTGCTGGGCTTAGTCATAACCGCACCTACGATAGGAATTCCGCAGGTGCGGCAGTAAGGTCACAGGTGCGACACAACTGGGAAGAAAAGAGGATTTTCCGAGGATTTGATTCATTTTTATTTTTGAAACTTTGAGAGCTCGGATTGAGGCGAGATTTTGAGAAATTTTCGGAGGAAGCAATTGGGTAAGGATTCTTGACTCGTTTTGGATTTATTTCCATGAATCTATTGTTAATTACACCTTTTAATTATGACTTTGGAGTTTCAAATTGGGGAAATAGTTTAGGAGTTCTTTGACCAAAGTTTTGGGTTTTGAAAGGCTAAATGAGGTCGGATTTGGATAATTCTTGTATGGCTGGACTCGATATCTAATGGGTGCTCGGATTTTATAATTTTGGTCGGGTTCCGAGACACGGGCTCGGGGTGACGTTTTGGGGCGATTTTCCAATTCTTTGCTAAAATTATTATTTTATTATTTAAACTAGTTTCCTATAGTTATATTCATAGTATGAAATTATTTTGGCTAGATTCGAGCCGTTCGGAGTTGAAAAATCGAGGGAATGGCCTTCTAATTGATTGATTGAGCGTGGATTGAGGTAAGTGACTTGTCTAACCTTGTGCGGGGGAAATTCTCCTTCAGGATTTGGTATGTTGGTGATAATTTGTGATATGTGAAGGCCGTGTACGCAAGGTGATGAGTGCGTACATGGGCTAAATATTGAAATTCCGGTTTTGCTACGTAGTTTTCTTTTCATACCTTAATTGAGTTACTTTAGCACGTTATAGTAATAATAGCCTAATTTCACATGCTTACTTGTCTTATCTCCTATTTGCAACTTGTATCACATGTTTAATTGAATTACTTTCTTTTCTTGATTTCCGTATTAATTACTTAACTGTGAAAATTCTTTACTTGAAATATCATTTATTTAGTTGTTGTGTTTTGGCTTTCATGTTATTGTTGAGGTGATTATTTGGTTGTTTGCACGAGGTTTCTGTTGTACGGTTGTTATTGTTTCACAAGGTTTTTGCAGTGCGGTTGTTATTGTTTGTACGAGGTTTCTGCCGTGTGGTTGTTATTGTTGCACGAGGTTTATGCCGTGCCATTGTGATTATTGATACTCATGCGGTGGTATAGGGTCTGGGTGTTGAAATGCATGCGGTGAGATAAGGTGGGCTTGATACGCGGGTTGCTATTTCGGGAAAATGATTTTCAAAAAACTAAATATAAAGACTCATGTGGTGATATAAGGAAAGACTGTGATTTGTTTTTATGATTTGGGACTACGAGACGGTACCTCGGGGGTTCCCTTGTTGATATTCTTTATTTGCTGGATTGTTTGGTTCTTGTTTTCCTTAACATGTAAAATTCTTGTTTTCCTTTCGTGTTGTATTAGTTTTCCTTGATTCCGTGTTGTTTTTTCCCGTAAATTCTTTATTGTTCACTTCCCTATCATTTTCATTATATCATAATATCTTTGTCTTGTTTCTTATTGTCTCTAGTAGGACCTTGACAAGATCTCGTCACTACTCTACCGAGGTTAGCCTTGTCACTTACTGGTACTGTTGCGGTATACTCATACAATGCTTCTGCACATGTTTCATGCATGTGCAGGTACATCCTTTCAGCCTCAGTATCAGTGCGCTGTGTTGCTGCTTGGAGACTTTAAGGTACACCTGCCCGTGTCTGCAGGCCTCAGAGTCCCCTTCTATCCTGTTTTTCCTTATTTCTTTATGTTTTTGATAGACAATAATGTATGGGATTATTCATCATTGTATATAGAACTTGTGACTTATATCTCATCGGGTTTTGGAAAAATTGTACGTATGGAGCTTATAGTCTATTAGTGAAATTATTGAAGTTTTGAAATTTAAGTTTTTATTTGATGTTTTTCGCATATTGTTAGGTTTACCTAGTCTTAGAGACTAGGTGCCGTCACGAGGTTGATCCCACTTGCTCCATCTATATCTCAGGCCAGGGGAGGAGCACAGACTCCTGCCGCCCGTACCCCAGAGCAGCGGGTCCAGGTTGACCAGTTCCCAGAGGTTATACCAGTGCAGGCGGTAGCCCTAATTCAGCCCGAGATTAGTGTAGCAGCTTCTGAGGAAGAGCAGCTCAGGCTCGAGAGTTACAATAAGTACCACCCTCCTACTTTCAGTGGCTTGGCTTCAGAGGATGCCCAGGGTTTTCTTGAGGAGTGCCACCATATTCTCCGTAGTATGGGTATTGCGGAGTCTAGTGGGGTTGCTTTCACTACGTTCCAACTTATGGGAGCGACTTATCAGTGGTGGCGAGCATATGAGTTGGGTAGTCGGGCCGAGGCAACTTAACTCACTTGGACTCAATTCTCATATATGTTCTTGAGGGAGTATGTCCCCCAGAGTCTCAGAGATGCATAGCGCGCAGAGTTTGAGCAGTTGCGCTAGGATTATATGACGGTGTCGGAGTATGCGGTCCGATTCAGTGATTTGGCTAGGCATGCACCAGCCTTGGTTGCTACTGTTAGAGATCAGGTCCATCAATATATCGAGGGGCTCAACCCCAGTATCAGATTTAGCATGGCCCAAGAGTTGGAGATGTACATTGCATACCAGCAGGTAGTGGGGATCGCTAGGAGATTGTATGGTATGCTGACCTGGGAGAGAGAGGAGAGGGAGGCCAAGAGGTCTTGAGAGTCTGGCACATATAGTGGTACCCGTGCCCCAGATGCAGCTCGTCATGGTAGGGTCTATGTGAGTTGCCTTGTTCATTCAGCACTTTCAGCTTGCAGTAGTACTCAGGCTCCCTATTATGCACCGCCATTATCTAGTGCACCTCCTGCACGGGGTGCTTTTAGCGATCAGTCCAGTCGATCAGGCCCGAGC